ACCATTTTGAGCATTATTAGCCATCTGAGGATCAATTGTGCTCGAACTTGAAGATATTGGTGAAGACATATTTTTGTTGTTGTTGTTGTTATTCATGTTCGAAATATTTACACTAGGAAAAATCTGGCTGAAAGTAGTACTAATGCTTTTATTAGTATTTTGAAATTGTTGTATATTTGGTTGAAATGTTGAAGGCTGATTATGAAGATTTCTATTATTAGAAAGCATATGGTTTTTGAAAGTAGGAGATAATGTGTTCTTGAGAAGAAGCATTTCACTTGGTGATGAAGTTGAGGAGCTTAACATGTCACTAAATTTCGCGAAAGTAGGATTATCATGGTGATCTGAGGAGGTTGATGGTGATTGTTCTTCCTTAATTTTGTCGGCGATATGTTGATGATGATGTTCTTGGTGAGGAGTAGATTGATTAATGGTAATATGATTATTAGGCCAAGGAAAACCTACTTCTTGTATTAGGGAATTATTAAGAGAAGTAGGAGTATCTTCACCACAAGTTGCATGGATATTGCCATTATTGTTCCTGCCAATTAGAATTAACAAAAATTTAAGCAAAACCTCTAAACATAATTAATGAAAGTGAATTTCTGTAAATTTAAATTACAAATTCTTGGAAGTAAACTTATGAATTATGTGAAAATTTGTTAAATTGCCTATGAATTATGTGAAAATTATTACACAATAGTAACTATTCTATGTCTTTGGAAAATTTTATCTTTAAATTAGATCCATGCATAAAAAGATAGGAGATCAAAAGGAATCCAACAAAGAAGATATAAAGTGTACCAAAACATGATGAAAGACAATTGTAAAACCCTAGTTCTAGGAAAATGCATGTAAGATCTAAGCACAAACTAGCAAGAGAGGAACCCCAATGCGAAGAGAGATTTCTCTTTCACTTCGGACGACTGAGCTTATCTCATATGTATGTACAAATTTCAAATCAAAAGATTAAAAGTTCACATCCCACCTACTTCTGTATATTATTTCATAGAAAAAAAAATCAACAAAAAAATTTCAATTTCTTTAGAAAAAAATGATATACATAAATTTATGCCAAAGTAATTATAATATTAAAAAAAAAATCAACTTACAAGAAGAAAGTTGGAGTTCTCCAAGCATGGTCATTTTCTGCAACACTAAAACATGGAGAAGGCAAAGAAGGTGGATTATTAGAAGAAGACTCTGCAATAAGTTGATGATCTTGAAGATGATGATGATGATTATGTTGCTGATGAAGATTTGAAGATTCCATGCTTATATCACACATTTAAGTAATATTTGCATAATAAAAGTAAAATATAATTATATATAAAAAAAAATTGGGCTTTAAAATCCCAAGATTAAGAGTGTATTAATTTAATCTCCTTCCCATAATTCTGAGCTCCCTCCAAACAACAAGAATAGTTTCAGGTGACTGCCACAAAAAACCCAAGTTTTTATGCATTATATTGCTTTTTAAAAAACTTTTTTCTCATTTCCATAATATCCTCTTTTGTGTTTTCAACGCCTCTTAAAGTACCCTATTGAAAAGAAAGACAGCTTATTAGGAGGAATAACTCTCTCCTAGAGGGGCCATTTAGGAATTTTGACAACATTTGATTAGTGTAAAGGATATGTAGATTAACATTGATGTGGATGTTACCTTACTATGTTGGGAAAGTCTTTAGATTAAGGTTGTTAAGAAATCTATGTTCAAGACTAATATGTAAATGTATATGTCTTTGCTTAGTACATACATATCAAATTTTTATCGGGTATTTGATTGGTGGCGATCGAAAATTTATTCGGGGCTAGTGGTGTAAACAAGTCAAGTCGAGTATAATCCTATTTATATTCATGTTCAATTAACTTAAGTCAGTCTGAGCTTTCATTCATGCAATTCAAAATTCCGTTTGAGCAAGGTTCAACGTGTTTATGAGGATATAGGGTTCGTGAACAATTTGTAAATAGCTCATTATTAATTAATTGAGTCGAGCTTATAAATGAGATTTTCTTATAAACGAGTTGTGCATGCTAATTATAATCGAGCATAAAAACAAATTAACCCTAGTTATGTACTAAGCATAGTCTAGCATTTTACTAAATGAATAGTTTAATTAACTTAACTACTGTGAATAGTCAGTAGCTTTATTAAACAAGCTTGTTCATGAGCATAAATAAACTACATATCTTGTTCATGAGCTGCTATGAACGAACATATTTATGTTCGTGCTCAACCTCATTTAGGAACTGAATGAGCTTCAAGAATTGTGGGGTTCAAGCTCAGCTCATCTATCAAATTTTAAAAACCAACATAAATGAAAGCACTTGATTAATCTTAGGTATCCAAAGTACCAAAAAAAAGTTTTTAAATTAAAGTAATATTTTCCTTAATTAATCCACACATGTAGTTACTTTTATCATTAGAATATAGTTTCTCTCTTTATTTTGTTTTTCCAAAAATTTATTCAGGTAGGTTGTCTAAATTATGTACGAAGTAAAATGATAAATGTACCAATTATTTCCGGCCAGAGAGAGTATCAAGTTTGCTGACCCATAGCTACTTGTTTCTTTCTATCAATCTCAAACTTTGTTTCTTTTGTTTTATTCTTTGTTTAGGAGATCCATGGATCAATATTGTGTAAGAACTAAGAAGGGTTATTCTTTTTGGCAGACTGCAATAACAGGAAGATGATTACAAATTAGCTAGGTTATCATCATCATAATTGACCTTCCCTTCAATCCCAAGGCTTTAATGCTAAGCTAATGATGGCTATTGGCAGCCTTGCCCTATTTAATATCCCTACTCTCTCACTCTCAATCCAGCATGTTTATAAGCTCTGATTACCTCTTAATTGTGTATTATATCTAGCTACTTGAATTATTTATAAAATGTGCTTTTTGATGGATTAGATAATAATAATAATAATAATAATAATAATAATAATAATAATAATAATAATAATAATAATAATAATAATAATAATAATAATAATAATAATAATAATAATAATAACCACATCTTATGCTTGGTCGGTTATGAAAAAAACTATAGGAGTAATGAATATAGCTAGTAGCTCAATGGAGTTAACTATTAAATCCATCATGATTATATAAGCTTAGGGTAATTATGGCTTGTCTAAGACTTGATTCGTTAGCAAGATTGTTACTTTAACACTATTTTAAAGCTAGGTGTATAGTTACAATGCAACTTACAACATGGATGGCCATCATTTTGATGCATTATGTTTTTGTATGTTAGTAGCATTATTCTCAATTTTCCTAAAGGTAAGCAGAACTGCCTACTGAATTGAAACCTCGCATATGTTAATCCGACTCAGATCAAATCAGTAGACTAGACACATAAAAAAGGGTCGAGGGTAGGGTAAGAGAATAATTACCATTTGCCACCCTAAAAAATTGTTCCTAGTGAGGTTTGAAACTTCAAAATCAAAGTTGGAAAATACAATCCTTCGTAGGTTAGCAAGCAAGAGTAAGAAACAATTAATAAAAGCTATTGTAGGAAGATGAAATATATGATCTTTGTGGATGATTGTAAGAGTTAAAATCTTGATTCATGCAACTAATCAACATACGTCTAATTTAGAAGTGAGACTTTGGATTTGTTATTGTTGTTACCTTGTTGACATTTCGCACTAATCAAACACGCATACATTATCATTCTTAATCATAATAATAGGTACGCCTTAGTATCATAATTCTAAATTGTCACAAATTAGCACATATACTGGATGATCAGATCATTTTTGTTTGTAAAATTCTAAATTCACAGGTTAAAATTTAATCTACATATAAATTCCTTTAATAAGAGGGAAAAGTACAGTTAATGAGTTGATTAACCAGTTAAGTAGTGAACTTAGTGAGATAAGACAGATAAAATCAGTGGACAAAAGTTAACAGAGAGTAGAAAGTGGGATAGAGAAACATGACAAGGAGGGGTATGGGCAACTTTGGCTTTAAAATGCTCGCCTTTTTGCTTTTACCCTTCATTGTTAGCCCCATTGTCACCCATCCATCTAGTTGCACCTGTGCTGTATTTTACACATTTTCATTTCAGTCTAATAATTTATATATGCGCCCAAAATAAAATCATCTCAATGTAACATACAAGTATATTAAATAGTACTTGTTATACGTGGATGTGTAATATTGAGTAGTGATCAATTAATTTCTTGATTAGACCATCTAATATTGATGACTTTTGAGGTTAAACTGACATATAATAATAAGGAGATAATTTTTTGCTTTTGAGAGTGAGAAATAGTTACTCGGATATATAGTAACAACATGTATGTGGCCGACAATTATTTTATTATTAAAGTTTTAAAAGGTTGAGATCAAGGTTCATCTATTTTATTTACCTTTGTGGCTCTCTACATCCAAAAAAAACAAAATAAATATGAGTAGAGATCAGAGAATAGTTGCTAAACCCATGTAAATTAATTTACTAAACAAATATAAGTACGACATAGAGACAAATATTCTGTTAGAACTTAGAAGTTAGTACATTAGGTCATCAACTTTGTCAAACTCTCAAGATTCATTCCATGAAGTCTGCTTCCGACAGAAGTGTTTCAGGCGCATTTTCTTGTTTTCTGTACTTTTTTTTATTTTTTTTTCTTATTTTAATTCTATTGAGATCCACTGTAACATTTGCCGTTAAATATACGTACAAACTTACAAAATAATACTTCGTACTTGAGTGACTGCTAGACTGCTGGTATGGTGTTTGCCCAGCCTACAGGAAAATATAAATAATGTCGTATCAGTATCTGTCAATTTACCAACTTAACTCACTTGATAGGACTCTTACCTTAAATTCTAGAAATACGAGTCTCGAATCTTACCAAACGATAATGGTGCTTGTAAGTGGGGAACTTGGGATCCCTTGGACCCAAAAAAACATTGCATGATCTTAAATAGATCTTCATGTTCCGCAAAGTCGGAGACACAGATATATTGGTGGAGAACAGAAGACAAAAACCAAGACAGTTGTATGATATCCCAAACAAAATATTTTATGATGGAAAATGCTCTAACTCATATATAGAAAGTTTTGCACTATTTATGATTACAAATGATCAAAATTTAATGCCAGACTTGAAAGCAGGCATAAGCGCATAACCCATGGATAAATATTTACATCCATATTTGTTAGTATACATCAGTTCTACAATCAAGGTTTCCCAGAATTCCTGCAATACTCGTAACTGAACAAAACGAGTTTACAAAGCTTTGCCAATTTGCTGTTTCTGGACAAGGGTACTAAAACCACCCAAATGAAGCCTTAAAATTTTAATGAATTGATACCTGTAAAATGAGAGGCTGAGAGCTGGACAATTCAAATTCCCCCTCAGACAAAAATCAACTTCTACTTCACTCTTGAAGCACCTTCTGTCTCTTGGAAGCGGCCACATACTCAAGTTCTACTCCTTTCTCCAGTTCACTCTCAATTAAGAGATCGCCATCCAGGTCGCTTTCTGTTACTGCCACAGCCTTATATTTAGCACATTTTACACGCCGGGTTCGTTCAAATGCCCCTTTGAGGCGGTCCAAATCAATGTTTCCAAGTGCATCATCCCCACGAGCAGTTTTGGAGCTTGTATCAACAGTCTCACAGTCAATGACACTACTAACTCCACTACAGTCACTTGACTGATGCTCTGATGCTACCTTCACTGGAAGATGGTTGCTTTCAACTATACCCTTCAACCCATACTTGTATGTTTGAGGTTTCTGCTCTCGAGCCACTGGAGCAGCTTTCTCCTCAAGACCTGACTCAACCGTTAATCTGCTTTGTGCACTCTGACTTGTGGAGTTTTCAGCTTTCAGAGTAGATGGCTTGATCACATCAGTAGGCACTTTTGGTACTTTTTGTTTTTCATCGTGCTTAAAATACCGAAGCATTTGCTGCGTAACTTCTGAGAGAATGCAAAGCAACAAAACAGTACTCAAACTTCAATGAAGATGAATGAAACATAGAGAAACTCCATTAGTTTTGCATCTTATAGGGAAGCAAGAACCTCCCATGACAGCCTCTCCCCTCAAAGCATTGCTTCCAATTTTTACTGCTAATCCTGAGTATCAAATTTTTTTGCATTGATACCATTTAGCAACTGACATTACTACTTTGAAAGCATTTGTTTCCCAAATATAATAACTTCAGATAAATAATTAGTTTTCATCAGATTCAAGCCAATAATAGTTTGAACATGGGCACTGAGACAACACCAATAGCTACAAAGTAATAAACACAAAACTTTTAGCATGTGCACGGACACATCACCAAAAAGAAATGAGAAAGTTAATACTGCTATACAGGTCTGCCCGAGGAGCTACTTCCTGCTCATTAGTTGTTTAATTGGAAGACCCTTGATATAAGAATATGTGCATATTTTAGTAGATGAGGTAGCTATTTGTAAGTATGTATAGAAGACAAAAAAGCACACTTAGGGAAGACTTTTGGTTGACTTGGGAAGAATAGATTCGCAGTAGACAATGTTTCCATCCTAATTCCTTGTTTTGGTATGTTATTATAGAAAACAGTGGGCCTTCACTCTAAAATCCATGTGGTGTTCACTGAAACCCAGGAGGGACAGTATCGGTTCCATCAACAGAAAACCTCAGATCAGCCATCGTTCCTACTCCTCCTAGCCACATACACCACCACCAATCCCAAAGAGAGGAGACTGCTAAGGAAAAACTACTGACCCAGGACAACCAAACCCGCTACTGAGTCACTTAAACATCATCTCCAACCAAACTGTCCTCTTTCACTTAAAAACAAATTTGTTCTCTCTGTTCCATTATGCAACCTATCTTTCCCCCTCTTGATAAAATTGTGTTCAGAAATTGAAGAGGGGCAGGATCTGAAGTGGTGGCTGCTACAAGAATGGAATATTCCAAAGCATTTGGCAAGCCAGTCACAGTTCCGGTCAGCCCAATCACTTTCTCCGAACTCCTAGTAGAAAGAGAAGGAGATCTGCCAATATTTTGCCTAAATTTGCTTCTTCGAGAAATGATTAATCACCAAAGAATAGAAAGGTTCATCAAAAGCCAAGCTTCAGGCCATCCACATTACAAAGAAGTCAATATGATGGCAGTAAAGGGCTCCAAGGATGGTTGAGGCCTTGAGGGTCCAGAATGGTAAAGTCAGGAAGGAGAAAAGATAGCAATAAGACTGGCAGGGAAGGGAACCACAGGAGAGAAAAAAGATAATTTGGCTGGAAATTGTTGGAGGGGATAGAAAAATAAGGGAAGAGAAGAGCAAAGGGTCTCCTCTGTCATAATTAGTTGCAACTTGGGAGCATATTCAATTTATAGGTATAGAGCATAGGCAAGAAAGAAAAAGGCAATAGGGTTCTGACTAAGCAAATAAAAAGCTCAAGTGCTCACGCGATTTTTGCAATCTTCGTTTAATATCCTGCTGTCTCATTCTGTTACCAAATGCACATACCTTTCTATCTCTAGCAATGAAATGGCAATTAATTAAGAATCACAGCATTCCAAATATTTTCCCAATTTCTCAAGGTTCTCTAAAACAATTTTATCCAAAATTTTTAAGATTTGGGTGATGAATTCCTTTCCCAAAGTTCCACTGGCTACTCACTGTTTCTACAGCAGGGAAAAAAAATAGAAATGATGACAAACAAATAATCACACACCTTCTAGTTGCTTAGGTGACACATCAAACTGCAGCCACCAAGCCTTTCCATCAACCATTGGCAGTTTGAAATTAATAAGCTTGGCTGCAACTGACAAGGATCCAGCAGCAATGTAGTGTGGTTTATACTGCAAGCATAACGTCGTTCTAAGCCTACAAACCAAAGTCCCAGATTATTTGAGAAACATTGAGATACAGATACCAATTTTAGCCCAATGGTGAGCACAGATGAGTTATCAAAAAGGGAAATTATTACCATTCATTCACAAGATTCCAAGCTGCTTTTGCAACTTCATTGTTTGAGATCTTTAGCCTCTTTAAAGCACCAACAAGTGGGCTAAATGGGTGTTGAATTGCCATATCAAAGTCGATTGTCACTAGCAAAAGATTCTCAGCAACTAGAATTAGCTCCTTCTGCTTATAATAAACTTCCTACAAGATGAAAACAAGACAGATTTCAAATTCTGCAACACATAGAAAAATAACTATCGTAGTCAATTTATGGACACGAAAGGACCAACATACCCGTCGTTTGATTCTCTCAGAAGCGGAAGGATCCCATTTATAGACTAATTCATACGCCACCAAGACAACATCCCTCAACGGACGTAGGTTGTCCTCCACTTTGGAAGCAAGAAACATGCAAGCAGTTGCAACTGTCTGCATATGTACCATCACATTTGTGAGGACAGATCACCCACTAGGAACAGTAGTGTGGCAAAAGTCTTTTGAACACTACAATCTCCAACTGCAATTGACAGTCCCTACTCCCTATACCATTAAAATTTTCTATGCTTTTTGCTCACTTGCCTTATTAGATATGACTTTCACATGATAAATGACCGTTTTTGTAGAAATACAATTATTAGACAAATTCGAAAAGGAGTCAAGTACATATAGATTATAGCAATTGATTAAGAAAGAAGCCTTATTGATGAGAAGAATTTGAAGAAAAAGAAGTTTTTTCTTAATATCATCTGCAGCTGCTTCAGCCTTAACTACTCAACTCCTTGTGACTAAAACGGTAAAACCTCCTCATGTAGAAAATTAATTTTTTTAATGAATGAAGATGGGTTCTTTAGGTCATTGATTGCATTTTTTGCAACTTTGACCATCAACTGGGAAAAAAGTTTGGTTAGATTTTAAGGGATATTAAAATCTACGGACAAGGTAGTAAACACTATGAATTTATGGGATGCGGGGTATTGATCCCCATACCTCTCGCATGATAAGCAAGCGCTCTACCAAATGAGCTACATCCCCTTATTTAAAAGAGGGTGGAGGGGGAGAGGAAATGATGAAAACAACTCCAGGAACTCTAAGTAAAAGGACCCTTTAGATTATTCCAAGATGAATATAGGTACAACCTGACAATACAATTGTATAAAACTCATACTAAAGACTAGAAACCAGTTTCAAAGAGATTCTAGAAAACACTTCTAAAATCATTTTTTTAAGTCACAAAAGGTTTCATATCTGCCACAATATAAGGTGCAAAGTGGGGGGTAAAAGAGCAAACAGTCAGGTTTAACTATCAAAATATCACAAGCCAGGACATTAACGTACCTTATTAGAAAATACTAAAGTGTGGATATCATAAATGTGCCAAATTTTCCTTTACATAATCGATCGAAAGAGACACTACTAATATCTCTTTTAAAGATATTATAGAATAATGTTGTGGCCTTGTGGATTCATGAGGTCGCAATATAAAAACAAATGAGACATATTTTTATCCAGCAGGGATGAAACATAAGCAGGAAGTAAAAATGCTGCATGTAGCTTTTGTAGATACTTCTAAAAGATACAAGTATATTGTTATCATGGTCTCCTTTTGAAATATTTGAAGCATAGATCATACAGAGACAACGCAATAAATAAGCAAAAGAGCTTGAAAGAAGAAGAGAGGAACACAGAAGAGGGAGTATTAAAAAAATAAAAAAGGAAGGGATGAGGTAGTATTTCTTGGTAAATTATCCTCCACTATTACTATCTACTATGTTACTGAATAAATACTACATATTACAATAAGACAAACAAGAACCCTTTACAAATTTTAATTTACAGCTGCATTTCCTATATTAAAAACAAACAGGTCAAATCAGGATTGCAACATTACCTGCCAATCATTCTTAGCATGAGATTGGCGCATATAAAATCGATGACAGAACATTGTTGCAGTTGCCGTAGTGACTGGGCTCCTGAAATGTATTATATCACACTTAGATGAAGAGTATACAATATAGAACTTGATCTTAAATTCTAATTAAAACCTAACTAAGAATACAAACACCGAATTTCAATTTGCCATTACCCCCTTTAGGCAGAGCCTTAATTAACAATCCTTGGAAGTTGAATATAATTATCCAAAAGATGTCCCTAAATTGGGCAACTAAACTTTATAAACTGTAAAAATGTATGCAACAGATGAACTTACACTCAAAGCTTCATGCCAAGATCTTTAATAAATGAACAGTATAATTTCCGCAGCGAAGATTCCCTAGCCCTGTCAACCCCGTCCTTCCTAGACGGTGAACGGTTGTCTATTTCATCTTTGGTGAAGTACCAGCCTCGCGTACCCAGATGAACGTCAGCAGTAAAATCTTTACAAGTGGCATTATTGCCATTCTGAGAAGGATTCACTGGCATTTTCACTTAAAGAGGCTCCTCCCACCACAAATCTATAGGAAAGACGCCTCTAAAGTAACAGCTTAATTGACCAAGAGCTTTCCACTAACAAGATAGCTGCACAATTTTGAAAGTAAAAAATAATCAGAAGAAATTACATCATCTACTACAGCTATACTCCGTAATATAACTTCAAGTAGCAAAAGACCCTACAGACTCGACATAAAGTTAATTACTCTAAGGGTTACTGCTCCAATTCATCCAAGGAAATCTATGCAAATCTAAGGATACCTACAGAAAGGTAAATTATGGAACCAGTACTTATCATTCGTTTGGTTGTATATTAATGAAATCAGCATCTACTCCGTAGTTTATAAAAAACAAAAAACAACTGCAAAAGTGTATTCAAATTTTCTTCTTATTTTAGATCAACTCTCCAATATATCCCATCATTATCTAAGGAAATTCAACGGAAAGCTACATAAAACCAAACGAAATTCGACAAATATCTCTGATTTTACAATTCCATAGTTTTCTCTATAACAGATTAATTTACGGCGAATCGACTAAGACAAAACTTCCCAAAAACAAACTTCACTACTCCTACTCTTCGTCCAATTTTAATTATCTCAATATACTCGTCCATGATTTCCCTAATGAATAAAAAAGAAAATCCAATCTTACAGAGTTACAGACAACATGAAAAATTGAAACCCTAATCGTCCTACAACCAGAAAAACGACAGAAAATTATTTCTACGAAACCCTAATTCACCCAACACCCAAAATTCGACCAGAATTCATCATGATTTATAATATAAACACAAAATTCAGCAACAATTCATGATAAAAGCGAGAAAATCGAGCCAAAAATCATAGAAACCTAGAAATCGACAACATAAACCAAATTTAAGGGAAAAAAATTGCATCTTTATATAAAAAAAACATTGACACATATAATTCAAATGAATTACTTGACAAATATAAATAAAAACAAACACATTAAAGTAAATAAATAAACTAAACAAAAACATATTGAGAGAGATAGAGAGACCTGAAGCTGCAAGAAGATGATGGAGATTGCTTTAGGGGTTATTAACGGTATCTGTTAAAATAAACAAAACAGAAACATGTTGTGTTTTTGTGGGATTAAATAAAGATATTCCAGTTGACTAAGAAGACTTCACACGTTTTTCAGATTTTTTTGTTTTTTTTAAGTCGGTAACTGACATTAACTCAGGTGATAACTATTTACCTAGGCTTCCTTTTTCGAATTTTTCATCGTGTATCACAACAAAGTTTTATAAAATACACAAAATCGTCAAGATGTACCTTTGTATTTCATCTCATGAATGGAGAATGTTATAAGAATAATACATAAGATGTTACTATGTGATCAATATTGTGAATCGGATTAAAATACTCACATTTTTTATGGGAGATTACAATCATGAAACTAATATGAGCTTTGATTTGATAAATCTAGATTCTTTGGAATAGTGGCATGTTTTCTCACTAATTTTTGAAAAGTAAATCAAGTAGCGGATTTGATGACATGTTCTTTTAGAAATCTCAATTTTTTTTTTTCTTACAAAGAGATCTCAATCTTGATACTAATATCAACTTTGATTTAATAAATATAGATTCTATTTTTTACGTTTTCTCACAGTTTTATGGAAAGCAAATCAAGTCGCGAACTTAATGGCGACAAAAGGATCTCTCACCCTCAACTCTATCATCGTGATTTTTGTCCTTTGGTCATTCCCTCTTTCTTATTATTGGTAAGGATGCTTTAAGTTGACCCACTTCTTGAATAAATCATTGTAACTTCGATTTACTTATTACAAATTATTATAAAATCACTATGCTCACACTTATTCATCCACGAGCATCAAGAATGATGCTTTAAATCGATGAGGATCTTTAGTGCCTCACACTAAATTTGCATGACATATGTGTGACATCATGTCGTGCATACATCACACACCAACATAATACATATATGTTCAAGTGAGGTAGCAAAAAGAAAAAAAAAAGAATCTACACATATATCAAGTGAGGACTCACGTCATCTAATTTAAAATGTATAGTTGTATCGTACCAATATCTTCTTACATAATTAAGTCTTTTGTCTCATTATAAATTTTATACTCTGTAGTATTTTAGAGATTATTACATATTTGTTAAAGGAAAACAAGGCTAAAGAGAAACAAAACTGAAGGTTATGGTTCACGTGCTTGCATAAGTGAGGAGATAGTTGCAAGAATACACCATCATCAACTAACTAAAATTTTGTCTATAGTTTAATTTTCATCTTCCTACCCAAACAATGTCTTATGAACTATAACGTATTCATGTCAATTTGCTTGGATGAAAATTTAAAATTTTTCTTCGTTACTATATTATAGTTCTGCATTAACATGTGTTATTATACTTATTCCGTATCTTGTTAAGCTGTTTTTTTTTTTTTTTTTTTTTTTTAAATTTTTAAAAAAAAATTTTAATTTTTTTTTAACAACGGTCTAAAAAGGAGGTTAGCTCCCAACTGACTCAAGACCACAATTAAAACAAGGAGAGGGCTTAACTCTCTTAATTATACTAACACAAGACCTAAAGTAAGGTAAGGACCCTACTAATCCAACACCTCTCACAAGTTAAGTCAAGCCAGCTCCGCAGGTCATCGCTTGAGAATAGAGGGGGAAGGTACTGCTCCCAAGCATTTGTAGTTGGTGGGGTTCAAACTTGTGACCTCCAAGTCACAAGGTAAGTTTCCCACCAACTCCACCAAGCATGCTAACACATATACATGGTAACACAAGAACTCGCACGTCACACACATTCCACCAAGTATGTAGTATTCTAGTATAATCAAAGGGGGATTAATTACTGTGTCATCTTTTAAGGCTACTAACTCATATCCATATTTAGCACCAAAAAATAAAAAAAATAAGATAAAAATCCATATCCATATTAGTATTCATATGGATCGTATATATTCTTTATGTACTATATCTACAAACTACATCAATATCCGTATCCGTATCCGTACCCATACTTATACCCGTATCCATAACAATTGGCCTTGCCCGCCTGCCCGCCCCCGCTAAAGTAAGGTTAGAACTCTCAAATGTCTCAATCCATCATCCCTTTTCCACCAAACAACAATTGTCCCACTGGAGTCTAATTCTACCATTGTCTCATATTATCAATCTTGTCAAAATTTCCTCAATCTGAAAATCCCCAACAAACCTATTTGATCACAACTACAACCCAGAATTTCATCAATTCAGGCATAAATAAAACACAATTTCTTATCCACTTTACTTCTTATATCCAACAAATCCCTAATTTGAACCTTCAATTTATCTAATTCAGGTAATGCTCAGTTATATGGTGTTTGTGGATCTGCTTCAAGCAATACAAATCATCTTCCGGGTGTGGAATTGACCATCTTAGGTACCAATTTCAATTCTTTCTTGAATACTTTAATTTAAATATTATTCAGAAACTGGAATTGGGTTATGATTTTTTCTCGTTTTCATCGAACTCAATCACCAAGTTTTTGTGTTTAATTTACGTTTTCATGCACATTTTTTATCAGTGTTTGACATTTGAAGAATTTTCTGAATTTGTCAAGAAAGAAAATTTGGTAATGTACTTTGTTTGTTGTATTGCATGGGGTTGATAATTATGTGCAATTGGCAGCATTATTGTTATGGGAATTGAGTGTTTGATTAATGATATAAACCTGGAGGGGTTTAGGTTTATGCAATTTGGATTTGGACAATGCTTAAAGGCACTGCCTTTTTGTCCTTTGGGGAGAGGAGGGAGTAAGTCAATGAACGAGAAATCGATTGTGATTATAGTAGATAACGGAGGTATTGAGTGCAGGTGCGAGGCGAGTTGATGGATGCAGGGATAGAGGGGTAGGGAAAAGATTGATTGAAGAAGTTGCTTTGGTTGGGGGAAAAGATGCAGGGTTGTAATATGTCTAATGGTAGGATTGGAGATGGACTTGTTGTGGCAGCTAGGTTTTGAGATTTTTACTTTTTGTGGTTGGAGTAGAACTAACATGGAACTTTCAGACTATGGGTATGTATGTCTATTTTGTTATTGAACAAGTGAATCTTGGGAAGGTTTGAGTATTGGAGCTTGTTTGCTGTTGTGTGCTTTTGTACCCGATTTATATTATAGGCTTAATTATAGAGATGTTGGAAAGGTCATGCTTATAATTTAATAGGAGTTATGCTTTGTTGGAAAAGAATTTTGATGTCCTTCAAGCTCCTGGAGGCCTCTTGATCTCTGTAATATTCTACTGTAGTTAATTGTAGAGTTTTGTAGTTTATGGGAAGTTTATATGCTGTCAAAACAGATTTTGGAACATGAAGTGTAGTTAAGTAAATAAGGGTGGGAATTGTGTCATGCTATGCTTTCAATTCATGATTTGACAATGGATTTTACCGTATAAGAGAGCTTGAACTCAGTTATGTTGGTATTCCTTGATTTCCTTGGTGAAGAATAATTGGACATGGATATAGTTATAGCATACCGTCGGAAACCCCTTGGTTTTGACAAAGCCTTGCTGCAACAGTTGGTCATTGTTGCGTGTGATTAAGTTTATTGAAGTAAGCTATTTTAGTGCAGATTTAAATGCTTTTTCTCATAAAGATACAAAATACGGGGACTACCTTGTCAATTAGAATAACTTTAAGTAATGGATACAGGAAGGGCTGTGCTGATATTCTATCATCCAGTCTGTCTGCATACTCAAAAGATGATGCTTTATTTTGATCTTCCCCTACCTTTTATATGGTGTACATCCCATGAATATTCTCTTCTTATGAGTTGCTGCTGTGACATAAAGTTCAATGTTGATGAGCAGCTCACTTCTTTGTTTGATTGGCTAGGAATAAGGTCCCATACATCTTGGCCTCGCTGGAGATGACCTTATAGTTGCATTGGCATTCTAAACTGATGCTTTGGGAGAACATAAGGGACCTATATTGCTCCTAGAATTATTGTAAATTGGAACTGGAGCAGGTCCTTTCCTTGTTACTCTGGATTATTTTCTCGTCCTCCAATATTATTATGGACTCTTAACAGTCCAACTTGATCCTAGTTGAAGTTGAATACTCAAATTTGTGTTCATTCAGCTGAAAATGCAATATCATTAGGCTGGTATATGTGAGGAATAAAAACTTATTTTATAGTATTAGATCTAAAGTTAGGAATGCCATTTCTCAAGGTAGTGCTACTGATCTGTATTTAAGAAGAGAAGGTTGTTTGTCTGTAGAATGGTCAATCTCTTTGAGACCTTCAATTGTACAATCAGTAGCTGTCAGATAAGCTATGTGATATTTATGTCAGCTACTACTTGTAACTCATAGAAAGCCCAGGAGTCAGAGAAAAGATTTTGTACATCGCATAGGTTGTGAAACTTCTGATCTTTCATTCTCCGTATCTTTTCTCCTAAATTTCTTTCCATTTATGGTCTTCTGGAAGTATATATACAGTATATCAAAATTTCCCTATTCATTATATATAGATTTGCTTTTGAGTTGGCATACTGTTAACTTTTCCAATTTGTGTACTTATAGTAAATGTGTGAACTCTCTCCTGCTGATGGCTTTGTTGAGATAAATGAGAACTTGGGAGATATGATTAAGTACGTGGCAAACGAACCTTCTGTAGGACTCTATTACATCCAGCAGCATGCTCAGAGTGCAGTGCCTAACATCATCAGGCTCAAGAATAACATCTTGGAGAAGTCGCATGAAGTGAGTTTACACACTGAAGATTTGGAGGATTCTGTAGCTATGACAAGGACGATGAAAAAATGTGGTTCCCCTGTTATTGATGCAATGATTCGAGATATTAAGACATCTCTGACCATAATGTCAACCAAACAACCAGTTAGAGGTGTTATCCAACCACGCAATTCAAGTTATCAGGCTGGTACGGCCGGTTCCTGGGGCTCAGCATGGGCGCGCTCTGCTATTAGTGACCAGAATGATGTTGTGAAATCAGGAAGTTACTTTTCAAGCGTGTTCCAGTCTGCTAAGGAAAAGGCAGTTAACTTGAAGTGGGCACAAGGTACACAACTCGATGTGAAGGAGCCATTACCTTCTGGAAGCAATAGTTCCACTCAGGTGGGGGAAAGTGATGATTTGCCTATATCTAGTCAGGTTGAAAATGAGGTAGTTGAAGGCGGTAATTTATCCATAGATGGAAAATCTCAACTTATATTGCCCGAAGCAATAGAATATGATGAGTTCAAGGCTGATAGGGAAGCCAGACTAGAAGAGTGGTTGGATGATTCAGGCAACGTTCTTCAAAATGAGAGTGGTGAGGCTGACGGAAATGGGCCTCTTCGGCTTGACAGTTTATGATGATGTCTCTGGTCACACCATTTTATCTTGATAATATTGACATATTGTTGATCACAGTGATCTTTGAACTTGAAGGTAGATTTATGTCTGCACCATCTGTTGTATCCATATGATACCTGTAACATTACTGACAATTGGCCTTATTTTTTCTTATTGTACAGTTTAGAATGTGTCACTATGTTGTAATAACTGAGGACGACATGTAGCTTAGCTGGTGCTCATCCCGACTTACATGGCTAAGTCCCAGCCTCACTTCACCCTTCCCTTGGGTGGTCACTTACTTGGTTATCTAAACATAGGGTCATAGGATACCAAGTGTTAGCCGCTTCCCTGAAAAATAAAATGTATTTTGAGGTTGGAGTTTTCTTTCAATAAAAAATGGTTTGTGAGTTTATGAGACTGAACTATGAAGTTACAAAATTCGATGCATGGAAATGTAGAAGTTATGGAAGAAAGCCAGTGAGGTCCTTGGCACTTTCATTCTGCTATGATGTTCATGCCAATGTCTGTATATGTCATTTAACAATCAAGTACGAGTAGCTACTTGTATTCAACATTTTACCAAAAATCATCGATGATTTTTAAAAAATGTAATCAATGATGATTCACAATTAACTTCTTGTAGAATAATGATTCTATTGTCATATGCTCATAAGAGTCATAACCCATATTGGTGTTTAGCAATGGTATTTTGATTTTGGACATTTACTAGCTTCACAAGTTACAATCCTCGCTAGGTAGGGTGATAAGAGTATCTGAATCCTCAACGCACAAGGAAACCTCAGTCATTTAGACACATAATTGAGAATCATTAGTATAACAATAAGGATATATCGTGTATACAACCTAAATGATGTCCAATCATGAAGTTGGGGATAATGAGAATCGACCCCCAATATATCATCAATCCCACCGTGGCAGAATAGTGACGAAGATGCTCCCTGAGTCATCCTTGGGCCAACTAAAGAATGTATATAGGTTCCTAGCCACTCCTTTCCGAACAACCAAGGTATATAAGGCACCAATCTTAGTCGTGAAGAGTGGAGCGTATCTAGACTATCTATTAGCTGACTTTCTTAGCACAACGTGAGGTGGCCATCTCAAATAAAGATGCACATGGTCTATAACATGAACAATATCATTCAAAACTAAGTAGAGTAGAAAGTTATCGTCTAGATCAGAGGCAGCGCTATAAATGCTAATACCGGAAATGTCTCAGTGCAATTTTGTTAAATTGGGTCCTAAAATCATTTCTTTAAGGAAATTTTTTTTACTTAATTATAAATTTTATGATAATATTGAAGAATAGATTATTAATTAACAAGCTATCTCTTTAGTTTGTATAAGTAAATTTCAAAAAATGGGGCCCTCTTATAATTGTTTCACTTAGGGGCCCTATACGATCGACCACCCTACACATGCTCAGAACCACCCCTGATCTAGATTAAGGAATTGAAATAATGATATTTCTTGTAGCTTCTAATGGCTATTAAAAAAAATCGTCTATTGATAATGTATCTCTAGTTTGTTACTTCGTCCCTTGTCTCTCAGTTTCCTTCCTATATAATTGCAACAATTTAACTAGCGCACAAAGCAATACAAACTTTGACCACAAACATATGCAATTTGCATTAGTAAAAGGTGTAGTACTTTATTAAGAAAATTGATAATTGAAAATTATACATTGAGGCTAATGCAACATATTGCACAGTAATATTTGATCTATATACCCGTAGTAAGAAAATGTGGTCAATAACAAATGTAAGAAAGGTATAAAAGTTAAACTATTGTAAGTTTTCAAGACGAGTAAAGTTGATGTTAGGCATGATAAACGTTACAAGGGCCCTACTGCCCTACGGAACAAGGGCTCTGCAATGCCTCTTCAAAGCAAAGGCAAAGGAAAGGTACGGAAGAGTGCAATAATGAATTCCAATTTGGAGTTCCACCTTATATTATATGCCCTACATACGCTTGAATAATTGCACGAATAATGTTTGATGTTTTTGTTATTATATTAGCCAAAAGGGGAAAATATACCAAAATAAATGGTACGTCACGACAGTGGCAATGATATTCTTGTTGAACACAAATCTTTTAAGATATAAAGGAGGGAAAAAAAAAAGGATGGCTTCTTAGTCACAAATTTATATTGCTGTGATCTTTGCTTAAATAATTAGGGCTCTTTTTTTTTTTTTTTTTTTAATTTTTTAATTTTTTTATTATAACAACCTTGACTTTCCGATATTAAAATCCAAAGTTTAAGATTATGTGGGTCATAATAAGGAAGCATTTTGCTAGATGGCAGTGACCTTAATTTAAAGGGAATGTTAATATATTTTAAAAGGTGATTACTTTTGGACCTATGACATTCATGCAATGATCTAAACTTGTTTGAATACATTATATAGTTGGCTTTATGATTGATAGTTTATAAACACAATACAATATGCTTACATTAGATTGTTTCCGCTAATTCTGTATAAAAAGATGTTTATAGTGTTCAATTATTTTAGATACAGTAGAATGGTAATTTAATGTTAGTTTACATCTTTAAGAAGAGCAAAGAAGTGGCCTTGAATGTTAGGTTGAGAAAAGTCACTCTGATATTTAAGACTTCGTTTGGTATCGCTGTGGTTTTCTGTTTATTTGGTTTTTTGTTTTTCAAAATCATATAATATATGTCATTTAAGAAATAAAAAATTAGTCAAACTTATTAAAATCATAATAATTTTGAAAAATGACAACAGAAAAGTGAAAACACATTTTTCTTATTTCCCGTTTATGATTTAAAAAAAAAAAAAAAACTGAAAATAGAAAACGATGTCAAACAAGCCCTAAGTTAGTGTATTGATTTGTAGCAAAAAGTTATAAATGAGAGCGGGTGTTAAATCAGGCTTATAACCACATATACATGCTAATAGGTGGCAATTTAATTTTTTATTTTATAATTATTGTTTTTTTAAAAATATAATAATTCAAGTTATTATAACGAGACACTTATATAAGGCCCATAGGTACAAACGACCCACTTGTTGGTAAGATCATACTGTACCTTACTCTATAATAACTAGCTTATTCAAGTACTAGTCAAACATGTGTGACACCTATTAGGCTATTAGCAACTTATATGAACTTCATATAAGTTCGCCCCTACCTATTAGCAACTTATGAATTATGTTACAACATTGAGCAAAAAGGACTGAAAATGACTTGATTTTCAGACGACCAAACAATATGGGGTGTCCAACTAAGATGGAAAGTAAGAAAGACTAAAAGAGTACTTACCAAAACTCCAAAGATTCTCGTCGGCAACACAATCCACCTTAGGATTTCATATGAAAAAAAGTTATGGCAAATAATTTGTGCAACTTAAACTTTTCAGATGGTTTGATTTGTTCAAGAAAATGCTTTCAAGTACAAAACTCTACAACTAAGTTGAGGATAATTTTATTACTTGCCATTCCACTCTTTAAGTTATAGGGAGCAAAAGGGTAACCAAGGTGCTTCCACATACAATGCAACCTTAGCTTATATTACTCACTTAGTCACTTTATCAAATAATTACATGTTAGAAGAGGAAAAGGGTGGTGCAATATAGATACAATCTTAATATGTTAACCTATCTCCATTGTCATGATAGCCATTCAACTCGATATTTTGGTCACATTCCAAAAATTGAGTCATGTAAAACTCGAACTTTTCAGCAGTTTTTGGAGGCAACGATACGAGAACTCTCACAGATTCGGGATCTTTAGCTACGGGTAGAAATAAACAATAAATATCACTAGCTATGGGACCCATATGTGATGGTTTTCCTGACCCGAAATCCAAATCTTCTAAACTCAACTTAGACCATTGAGAAATCACCAATGTTACTGATAGGTCAGTTCTTACCTTTTTATCTTCCAACATATCTATCATAGATCTTATACAATCGTCATTTAAGCACAACTTAGCTTGTTGGACCAACTTCACCCCATGACATAAGTTATTGGTGACCAAATCCTTTACCGTTGTCTCAGCACATCCAAGCACAAATCCATTCCCATAATACCCTTGTGGCAACTCTGGCTTTACCCTTTTTCTAATGTTAACTGAGAAAAGAAGTTTAACATTAAGCAAATGTGACAAGTTTAACGATTTAACCCACGCTTGCCACGTGTGAGATGCAAGGGCTTCAAATGTGGTACATTTTTGTGATGGAGTAATTTTACTTTTTAATTTAAGAATTTGGGAGGGGCTAAATGTTATGGATGTGGCAACAAGGGGTTGAGACTGTAAATATTTGTTGAGGGCAAAATGGCCATTTTCTCCCATCTTAGGGGTAAAGTTGGTAAACACTGGATGAGAAAAGGTAACTTTTGATGGGGTCCTAGGTTTTAACACGTGTCGATCGTGGAATGGCTGGATTGGTGGATCAGAATTGGGATTGGAAGTGATGTGGGCCCAAGCATTGAGAAATTGTGATGTGCCAATGCCATCACATAGGCAATGATTGATGGCTGTGCAGAGGATCATTCCACCACACCTGAGATTAGTTACCTGCATTAGAGAGAACAAGGTACGTGTGTATGTTATCTTTGATGCACAAAACTAGTTATTGACCTGAGCAAATTCCGAGTCATTGCATATAATATAAGAGACACAAATATATATAGTCATATAGACAAATTAAAGTTGAAAGTTTCAAACACTATATGATTTGTTGAGTGATTAAGATAAGACGACTACATGAAATGATGAGACAAGATATCACTTCTTTGTCTTGAATTTCAGACATACTATAGTTTATAGAACACTTAAAATTTTTCCTTAAATTAATTTATTTTTTAGACATCAACTTCACTTTTACATTATTTATATACTTATATAAAGTTTAATAATTATTATAAATTTATATTTAGAATCTGATATTACCTAAATATATGTAAATTAGTCTGAGTATAATTTAAAATACCAACTTATGTAAACTAATCATTACTTATTTTATTGAGGATAGAGAAAACACAAATTCACCAACCAACAACTAGTGAAAAGAACAATAGAGGAGCTAGTGACACTAAATCCAAATGAGCAAATTTTGCACATGAAATGTAGGGTCATACATGGCTTTATTGTTATTTTCTTGAATAATTCCAAAGCAATAAAATAAAAAATAAAATTGAAAGAGATATAGTGATATTCATACATTATTATTTTTTAGGATATGATATTTAAATCAAAAAGGATTTCGCAAAGGGTAAGAAAGGGGCAAAAGAAACAGAAAGCCACGCCATAAATTGCGAGCTCATCCCATCTTTCAAATGATCTTTTTAGTTTTCCAATCAAAAAGTTAATCATTGTTCCCGTTCACATCACTTTGCTAATAATAAATTAAATGGATTATATAGTACTCTTAACTACT